TAAATATCTAACAGCACTTTATCATCCATTGGCATACAGAACCAATGGCTGGCTGCCTAAAACCCACAGCAATTGTTTCCAACAGTTATTCAAACTCTTTTCCTTCTTTGAATCAGTAATATTGCAGACTTAAGATGGTAATGTTGAGAAAAAGGCTACTTAAAAAAAAAAAAAAACAAAAAACTAAGATACTCTGTTTAGAAGTTACAGACTATAAAAAAAAATCTGACTCTAAGAGATGGTGGTGTAGTTCAGTGGTACACCACTTGTCTATCATGTATGAAGCCCTGGGTTTGATCCCCAAGCACCAAAAGTAAAGAAAGAAAGGAGGGAAAAAAAAAGACATTGTACTCTAGAACTTAAAACTAAGGGGAAAAAAAATCCTCGCTGTGTACATACTTGTTTGAACAAAAATAACTTCATCAAAATTTGGTTTCATGTAGTGGCATGCAAATCCTGTTTTCATTCCTGATCATGAGACAGATAATATTACCTTGAATCTGTCCAATACTAACTTGGTCAGTAGTTTTAATCTGATTTAAAAGAAACAAATTTTGCCAGGCATAGTAATCCTAGAGACTTGGGAAGCTGAGGCAGGAGGATAGTAAGTTCAAAACCAGCCTCAGAAATTTACTGAGGCCCTAACTAACTTAGCAAGACCCTTTCCTTAAAATAAGGGCTAGGGATGTGGCTCAGTGGTAAAGTGCCCCTAGCCTCAATCCCAGGTACATCCCCCCCAAAAGAAATAAATTTTAATTTTTATAAAAGACTGTTAATAACAAAAAGGCTGACATTTGGGCTGGGGAGTGGCACAGTGATAGAGAATTTGCCTAGCATATGCAAAACCCTGGATTCAATGCCCAGCACTACAAAAACCAAAACCTGACCTTTTACTTTTCTATTTACTCAACACATAAATAAGGTACTAGTGACTAGGTAAAGGTTGGGCTGATTTAAATTGCTCTGGCAGCCAATCATGGAAGCATGCCTATAATATCTGCTACTCTGACTGAGGAACATTTTGAGTTCCAGAACAGGCTGGACAACTTAGTAAAACCCTGTCTCCAAATAAGAAGGGCTGGGATGCAGCTCACTGGTAGAGTTCAATCCTAGAAAAAAAAAATATATAAAAAAATTGTTTTGGTTTAATGGTGTCACTAGGAGGTACTTAAAATATTTGGGGTTTGAACCTAAAGGCACGTCACCACTGAGTTACTCTCCCAGTTTTTTTTTTTTTTTTGCTAGCATCTCTCCAAATTGTTGATGCTGGCATCAAACTTGTGACCCTCCTGTCTCAGCCTCGAGTTACTGGGATTAAAGGCAATTGGCCTTAATTGTAGTCTTGGTTGGGGAACCTGAGCACTTGCATACATCTTTCTGGGTTTCACTTTCAACAGATCTGCAAGACTCAGTGAACTTGTATTTGATTCTAAATTCTATTAATGAGCCATGAAATGACTGAACAGGTCAGTGAGTAAATTAATAGAAAGCCTGACTTGTCCCTTTAATGGATTCTAGGTCTTTTGAGGATGTCAAGTGCTTAGTTTAGTGGGTGGATGAAGGATAGACTTAGAACAGCCAACCTTTGCTGTCTGAAGGCCAAAGAACCAAGTCAACAGCATAACCTTGCAGAATATATACAATTCTTTCACAGTATACATGGCAATGTCACACCTCCACAACCTCCTCCTGAAGCCATTCCCTCATTCAGTGGCCTACAACCTTCTGAATCCAATTATTCCAACTGTTCACATTCCTCTCTACTTACCTCAGTCCCCAAACACAGCAGCTTTTTGCATGTAGGAGACTGTTTCTGTCTCATGAATATATCGAATAATTAATGATTATACAGTAAAGTTACAATAAAGCAAATTTATATTCTCTAAGTAGACATACATCAAATGCTACAAACAACTAAGTCACTTCAAACCTGGTACTTAAACCCCTTTAAGACTGCTTTTTATTTTCTGGGTGTGGGTAGAGGGCAGGGACTGATTACCCTTGATGATTTCAAATGCCTGGATCATAGAGATTAAAAAATGCTCAATATTTAATTATTTATGTAGTTTGGCCATTTGCTTATTACAGATAGGCTCTGCCCCAATAATTTAACTGTGTGGTATGTGTATGAACAGTCAGTCATATTTTTCTAATCCTCAAACTTTTAGACCTGAATTAAGCAGGCCCCATGGACAACCTAAGTGATCTGTGTTGGAGATTGAACCTAGGGCCCTGCACATGCTAAGCACACACTCTACTAATGGCTCTCACTTTAGATAATGAAGACTACGTAACACATCTATGATGAAAATAACTACATTGAGTGAAAAATTGTTTTCCAGCCTTTTAAAAAATAAAAACTCAATTCCATTTATTTTGATTCAAATTGGGCTGCCATTCTATTTGACACATACTTATATTTGATGTACGATATAAACTATTTAAAGTCAGATGCAGTGGCACACACCTGTAATCCCAGTGATTTGGGAGGCTGGTACAGGAGGAAATGTCTCAAGACCAAAAAAAAAAAAAAAAAAAAACAGAAGAGATGGAGATATAACTTAGTGATTAAGGTGTTCCTGGGTTCAATCCCCAGCACACACATCCATAAACGGGAAGTTAAGATCTTAGGAATCTGAGTGCAATTACTTCTTTCACTTTTATACATTGGTATCCTCATATATAATATGGGAGAGGATCTACTTTATAAAAAAACGAAAATCAGACATGTCAATATATATGAAGCACTTATAACAGTGCCTGGCTCAAGGTATTCAAGAAATAATTGCTAATATTACCTATCTTGGTTTAAAAGGGCAACAAAGAACAGCATGGCTTAACACTATGAAAGCTAAAGGGAATCAGGTTGAAGTCATGGTTCTACAAAGCTTACAGAGATGCTTCACCTTGGATATCCCACACTTTTTGCAAACATTGCTCATGGAAATAAGAAGCTTAAGAGATGTTGCATATGAGAACTCTAAAAACTTCAGTTGGCAAATTGATTTTTCTAATGCATTTTGCAACTTTATTAGCTGACATTATTGTTCAAGAAGTTTTCTCTCCGGAGGCTGAGACAGGAGAATCATAAGTTCAAGACCAGCCTGAGGCAACTTAGTGAGACCTTGCCTCAAAACACACAAAAGGGCTAGGACATAGCTCAGTGGTTAAGCACCTCTGGGTTCAATCACTGGTACAGAAAGATTAAAATGAGTCAAAATTAGACTTGGCTACTGTGAACCCTTCAAGTGGTTCCTGTATCCTTAAAACACGTTATCTACCAAATTTCGGGATATCTTTTCTGGCAGTTCCAGGTTCATCTTTTTATCTCTGCCCATGACCCCAAATCAGATACTTTTCCTTAATACTTCAGCCTGGGACAGCTAGTTACTCTAATAGCTTGGCCATTGCTGGACATTTTCATTCCCCATAAGGGGGATTTAATCCAAGTGCACTTAACCACTGAGCTACATCCCTAGCCCTTTTTGAGATAGGGTCTTAACTAAGTTGCTCAGGGCATCACTGAATTGCTGAGGCTGTTGTCAGACCTGTAATCCTCCTGCCTCAGCCTCCCAAATTGCTGGGATTACAGGTATCCACCACTGCGCCTGACGCTCCATTTTTAAATGTCCCGAAAACTGGTCTACTAAATCATTTCAGAAAACAAATCACCATACTTCAACAATGCAACATGATTAGAACAAGAATTTATAGTCTGTTTAGATCAACTCAAATTTGGTTTATAACCATTTTTGGATATGTAAAAAGTATATTAAAACTATTTTAGAAGAAGCCAGGAATAGTGATGCATACCTGTAATGTCAGTGATTAGGAATGACTAAAGTAGGACACAAGTCCAAGGTTGGACAACTCAGTAAAATCATATCTCAAATATGTATTTTTGGTACTGGGGATTGAACCCAGGGGCACTCTACCACGAGGCACATCCCCAGCCCTTTATGAGGCGAGGTTTCACTAAGTTGCTTAGTGCTTCACTGAATTGTTGAGGCTGGCCTCAAACTTGGAATCCTCCTGCCTCAGTCTCTGAAGTTGCTGGGTTTAGAGGCATGAACCAAGGTGTCCAGTTTGTTTGTATTTCTTTATCATATTTTGCCTCACATCATGGTCATAGGGTTATCACTGTTTGAAAATGGGCAAAAAAAAAATTGCCAAATACCACTTTGGCTTGGAAATCATTGAATTGGCCTGGTGTAATGGCACACCCCTGTAATACCAGTGACTAGGGAGGCTGGTCAGCCTGGACTACTTTAAGGAGAATCTCTCAAAAAAAATAAAAAGGACTGGGAGGGAGTGAAGTGATTGAGCGCCTCCAGGTTCAATCCCTAGTACTGCAAACAATCCATATGCCACTAAACAAAATTGTCCCTGACTAGCATAAGTGATGTCACAGACTGAGTTACACCTAAGTGCTGAATTTTCAGCTGAGCTAATGTTGTTTAGGTCAGCCCTTTTTAAGGAATACCTATGATTTGCTCCAGTTAAGAGTTACAAGAAACTTAATTTTTTCACCTGAAGTATTGTGGATTGAAACTAGGGGTGCTGCAACACTGAGTTACACGCTCAGGCTGCCTCTTTTTTGGAGATGGGGACTTCTAAAATTTCGCAGGTTGGCCTGCAACTTGTGTTCTTCCTGTCTCAGGCTCAGGAGTAGCAGGGAATATAGGCATTGCGACCAAGGCCAATTAAACTTGATGGTCAAGGTATCAATATTCTAGATATCTCAGCAGACTAGGGAAACTAGCTCATTGGCTTGGATTCTAAAATCTGTTTTATAATTTTATTATAATGGAATTGTTATAATTTATTACAGTATGCTCTGCTCAAAACATTTAACATTTAATTCTACTAGTATTGTAAGGACTAGTAGAAATAGGAAAATCTCGTAAAAATTTCTTGATGGGAAATTTACTAAAAGCAAACCTGAATATATAGGCCATAAGAGCATAAGCACAACCATATGGGAGGATATAACCAGTCTCTCCCTTCATATATACTTTTTTATTTTCTTGTTATACCTTCCCAAAACAGACATTCAACAGTAGTTAGAATGGCCATCTCCCAACATTAAAAAAAAAGAAAACAAAAAAAACAAAAACAAACAAACAAACAAAAAAAACTGCACCCCCCAATGGGTGAACAAAATAAAGAGGAATAACCTAGAGTTCAGCTGAGTAAGCCACTGTGCAGCCTTAAGTGGTGAGGTCTTCCAATTTCAGAGTGATGTGTCTTCAACTTGTATCATCATTTTAGTGGAAAACCATAATTTAATTTTGGTGAAATGAGATTCATCTCCCGACAGGATTAGTAACAGCATTCACTGAATTTCACATTCTTCTTTTGTGAACTGTGAAGAAAATGAATGGTAGCTAGAAGATCAATGGGATTCCAGCTCCAGCTGCAGATGGAATGAAAATATACTAGACAAAACACCTATATTTTGATTTACAGAGCTAACAGCAGTTTTAAATCTGCAACTTAATTACAGACCAACTACACCACAACCTTTTCAAATGGCAAAAATACAAAAAAGTGTTACAAAAATATTTCAGAAAAAGTGCATAGTCTAAGTGCATAGTAAATAAAAGCACTGAAAATATCTTGCTAGAGGGAGTTCAGCTTGGAAAATTTATTACCAAAGCTAAATAGTTTTATTTTACACAAACTATACTCAAAAATAGCTTTATGAGACTGATTTCTGGCTAAAAGTATCAAAGGGTTTATTAGTCAAGAAACAAATACCTTAACTGACAGGGTGTTTAGAAAAGAAACAAAGAAGCTACCTACCCCAAAACTTCAGACTTACTAAGATTTCTTCGTATACTATGGAACTAACATAACCCTTAATGGCAGAATGTGGCAAACATGGAATTAATTATTGCTAAAGTATTTTCAAATAAAAACAAAAAAGGAAAAAAAAAAAAATCCCAAAGAAATTAAACTTGACACAATCTGACCACACACGTCGATTTACAATTTCAAGGTTATTTCACAAAACACCTACATGTACACAATAGGCTCCCGGCAGCATTTTTTTTCAGACAAATGTACTTTTAATTTATCCTGACATGCTATAAAGGAATAAATTACACTAAAGAATTATCATCGGTAAGTTTCCTTTCTCTTGGGTCAGAGAAAAAGAGAAAAGCGCGCAAATAAGACTGAAAGAAAGCGCACGCACACAGGTAACCTATAGAAGCAGAGGGGAGTGGCTAGATAGAGGGGTCAACAAGCACTTCACATAGTCCAACTCTGTTCCAAGGTTTAGAATCAACTGCTTATAATCATTTCACAAGTATTTTAAATAAAAACACCTTGTAGTCAAACCCTTTAACGCTTTCATTCTTACTCAGAATCAGTCAAGCTGTTAGTTAGTGGCAGCAGGAGTTACAATGCCAAGTTCTGGCAGCTGCAGTACTAGGTATTGTGCCTGCAAGTCATTAAAAAAAGAAAAAGTGAAAGAATGCCTTTCCCTTCAGACCAAAAGAAAAAAAAAAAAAGGAAAAAAAAATGAGAATTTGTAACACTATATCTTAATAGACTTGCAAAGGAATATCATGTAACAAATGGCTTAAAGTCGTCTATCAAAAAATTGGGGAGACTTTTATTTCATAGTGAGTCAGCAAGGCATTTTGTTGTTTAAAAAAAAAAAAAAACCTCATTTCCTTACAGAAACAATTTTTAGTTTTTAATGAACTTGTAAACAAAAAAGCTCCCATTTCAAAATAAAAACAAAATCCCAGATCGTATAGATGTTTACAGTGATTACATTTATCTAAGCAACATACATACATGTTCAGTTGTAAGATGTTAACTAAATTTCTGTGACAAATATGCTTTTTTTTTTTTAATACCAAGAACATTATAGAGTTAATGCAGAGTCCTAAGGATAATCTAGTAGTCACTAAGTTTTTCTTAAGTCTTCACTTTAGATGCTGTTATTTCTAGCACAGTAAGCAGGCAGAGTCTTTCATATGCTCAAACACTGGAATCTTTGGTTGCTACCATATCAGGTGGCTTGCAAACAAGAAGCCAACCATTTAAAGAATGTTTTAAGTGAACAACTTGCAAACCCCAGGGGTGGAAAAACCCTAAGAATGCACAATTGTGAGCATTTACAACCATCACAACTGTGGCTGAAGACTGTTCATGCCGTTCTTCTGAAATGAGATCTCAAAGCAGTATAGTTCAAAATGAAAGGTTTTAACAAAAAATTGGCATATGCACAATTTCTCCACCAATTTGAGTGTCAACCATTTAGTTAACTTTTCCACTTGAAAAAAATTAATAGAAAACCGGACACCATGTTTCACTATCTCAGTTAATATTCACAATTACAGCGGCTACAACTCATGATACAGCATCAACAATGCTGCCCAGAGCCAGTTTATACTGAAATTAAGTTCTTTACACCAAGTAAATGGTTGTCCACAACCACTGGCTAGTGTACATATGAACTAAAATTTCTAGATTTGGGGAGAAACAAATGCTGCTCCAATCATCTGCTCTGCTTCTTCTGTTCTTCAATTCATGCTTAGAAACCTATTTAAAAAAATCAAAACAGAAAAAAGAATGTTAAAATTTCAAGCTATAATAAATTTGAAACTATACCGAAAATAGAGGAATTGCAGGGAACTGGGACAGTAAGCACTTTATAGTGGTTCATGCTATTTTTATCTATTTGAAAATCACTAGGCTCAGTTTTTAAAATAAAAAACCCATGACTCTACAAGTACAATTTTCTGATTTGGATAACTAGGAAGGTATGGTGTATTAGAGAAATACTTGTTATTTAAATAAGCATGTTCAGTTCACTCTTTGGTACCTAACAACATATTTTTGTTTTCAAAAATTTGTTGAATAAAAAATAGGTTCCTTTGCCTCAACAACTAGACAGAATAGTTTTAATCATATTACGAGCATGAATTTTTGTATACATTATTTCTGATATGAATAAGGAATGAACCAGGTACAACAATGATTTTTGGGGGTGGGGTTCTGGGGGTTTAACCCTGAGGCGCTCTGCTACTAAGATACATTCTCAGTCCTTTTCATATATATTTTTTGAGATGGGCACAGGGTTTCTCTAATAATATGTATACAGGTGTAATTATTTGAGTTGTTCCACTGAGCAGACCTAAGATTTCTATACAGAAACCTTACATAGATCTTTAAAACTTTATTTTCACATTGTATTAAAAAATGATTTCATGGCCGGGGGCGTACAGCTCTGTGGTAGAACATTTGCCTAGCATTCCTGAAATTCTGGATATGATTCCTTAGGACAAGAAAAACAAACAAAAAAGATGATTTCATCACTGATATGAAAAATGTAAACAAGCCAATTTGGGGAGGGGCCACTTCATTTACTTCTCAATTTCTCTCATTTCTCCCATTTTCATCTTCCCCTCAAAGGAGATACCAACCCTTGGGGTTTTTTCATAATAGCAAGTTTTAATACAAGAAGCCAGCAGGTCATAATAGGCTTTATCTATGGTTTAAGGCAAAGAAGATATATGCTTTGTCTTAAACATGAAACTCCCACATAAGCACTTTCTCCTCTCACTTATAGCCATGCTTTGTCCTTTGCCTACCCCCTTCTAAGCCTTTAAAATGACCTGACAGGTGACCATGTTTCTGTCCATCACAAACTGCTCATCTTCTCTTATATTTGTCAAGTCTACCTCCAATGGGTTATAGGAGATAAATAAAATTACTATCATTTACTTTTTATGGCAAGTATGCCTTTGTTTCTTTGAACTACCATTTAAACATTTATACATTGTTTCTTAGTAGACATTCTTTTGTTATCAAGGAGTTTTTTTCATTTGAGGGCGGAAACTTCTTCATTCATTTGATAAATATATCTGGTAAGCCAAGAGGAAAAAGATGCTTTCCTTGTCTTTCTTTTACTTCTTTGTCTCTCCATAGTTCCTACAAAGAGTAGTTACTAATAGTTGTTGTTGCTTGAGTACCAAGATCACAGGAAGCAACCAAAACTGAAGGATAATGAAACTGAGAAATATTATGTTTGATGCATGCTATTAAATAGGATTAGCAAGGTAAACAAACATACTTAAAAGGCTATGAATCAAACCTTAATTAGATCTAAACATCTAACCATATTCTGTGACTTAATTCTAATTTTGAAGATAATAAGCTACAAAAGTTAAGAAACTATGGATTAGCTCAATAGAAATGACGTCTATCCCATTCAGGATTTGTTTTTAGGTCCTGCAGTTATTCTTAAACATGATTCAAAAACAAAAACCAAAACATTTAGATAACTACTAAAATTTGTGGGTTTTCTAATTTCATTGTTACACTGACTATTCCCCCAAATGTTTTACAAATGGAAAACTGTAGTCACTAATGAACTAAAAAGGAAATGTAAGTTGCAATGTTGTCAAAATAAGAAAACACTCTGTCTTTAATAGGAAAACTCTAGATAAGAATTTTATCTGTTCAGAATTGCCAGGTCAACAAATGATTACAACTGCTTAGGGTTTGGTTAAAGGCTGATGTAATAATCTTCCTGGTAGAATACAGCAACAGCCAGATCGAGCTTTAACTCTTCATATGGGTCAATAGTAGGAACAACCCACAGAGTAATGTTTCTCCAGTGAATTGTCCTAAAATGTTACTAAAGTAGGAAAACCTCAATAGAACATTCAGGAGGTATCCAACATCCAAACTTCACAAACTAATAAACATTCTTTTCTTGAGCATGTTTTAGTCCTTGGTTTTTATCTTGCAGATGGGGTAGCATCTCTTGGCTTCCAAAAGTTCAAGAACACATGTTCACTGTAATATCAGTTAAAATGAGGAATGGGTCCCTTTGTCCTAAAAAAGAGGGGGGGGGGGAAGTTCACAAAGAATTGGAGGATCAGTGTGACCATTCAGGAGTTAATAACTGCATTTAAATCTTCAAATGGAAGAGTTTTTGCTTATATAGAACTATATTTTTGTGTGTATGTACATTGAATCCAAGAGTGCTTTACCACTGAATCACAACCCCAGACTTTCATTTTTTTACTTTGAGACAGGGTCTTGCTAAGTTGTTGGGATTAGCCTTGAAATTGTGATTCTCCTGCCTTAGCCTTCGAATTCACTAAAATTACCAGAGACTGATATTGTGCCTGCCTAATGAGAATATTCTACCCCTCAACCTGAAATCTAAAATTCAGGTTGAAGTCACTGAAAATGTCTCCGTTTTTGAGCTAGCCAGGAAACTAGCTCAAGGAGAAATTTCCTAAGAGTAAGGGTTATAAATTTGTGATGGAGCTTTTGAAATTTAGCAATTTAGCTTTAGAAATTTAGCACAAAACTTCCCCCCATACTGGGGATGAACCCCATGGAACTCTACCACTTAATTATATCCCCAGCCCTTTTATTTATTTTAATTTTTTTTGTGTGTGGGCAGGTACTGAGGATTGAACTCAGGGGCACTCGACCACTGACCCACATCCCCAGCCCTATTTTGTATTTTATTTAGAGACAGGATCTCACTGAGTTGCATAGTGCCTCGCTTTTGCTGAGGCTGGCTTTTGATCTGAATTCTTCCCTATGATAGAAATTATTTTTGCAACAGATTTCTGAAGTTGTCGAACTTTAAAATACCTGTTATAAGTGAATCCTCCCCAAATGGTAGATGGTCTGTCTGCATTATATACTGCTGAGGCATAACATGGGACTATTGATGTTCTAGGTCTTCTGACAACTGTGGTATCATTCAATCTGACAAACTTAATGTCTGAGAGGTCCAGCAAGCAAGCTTGATACATGGTTCCATATCACCACAAACCAGCTCTTAATACTCTGATCTTCATTTCCTGTTGGGTTATTATTTTCTCTCCCGCTTTACTATCCACAGTGAAAAAAGGTGACAAAAATTTAAGAATTCAGCAAGAAGATGCAGTTTCCTGGTATACTTCTTTGGATTAAATGTATTCAGTCTCTCCAGGTTATTTCAAGGTCTTTCCCTGTGATCTGGATTACACTGCTGAATGACCAGCCATGTTCCTGGCAGCAATTGGTGAAGTCAGAAAAAGTTAAGCTAGATATAAACAGTAGGTAAAGCCCAGTAAACACTGGAAGGTAATTCAAGGAAGAACATGGACATGGTAGTTTGATGTGATGGGAAAATATTTCTAATCTTTGAGTGGCAACAATTTTGATATCCATTTATACTGCTATGATAAAACTGTGTTTGGTTGGGACAGTGCAGATGAGTTAAGATAGAGAGTAGAATTATGTGAGGATTCACATTTGCCTTCTATACTTTGAAATTCTCCCCACCAACGGCATTAACAGGATTTTAAATGTCCTAACAATATTTTCCTTTCCTTTACCACTTCTTCAATGTCTTGAACAATATTTTTCTGGTAATCACATTCATCTGAAGAAAAGGGACTAAAATGAATTCTGAAGTGAGTCAGGTATGAATTTGTATTTTTCTCTTATACATGAAGAAAATATAATCTTGTGGCACTATACCATTTAAAAACTAGTAAAGATCATAATAATCATTAGGAGAAAAGCCTTGTTTCTTGATTTTTTTGGTAAGTTTGGAATGGAGTATTTGAAAGACCTAACAAAACTATAATCATCTGTTTCATATAGGTCCACCTTAGCTGTTACAAGTGAACCCTCTCTAATAGGCAGATATGCCAGAGTTAGAATCTTTGAACATTCTAGTGAATTGCTAGAATGTTGGAATTTTCCATAGAAGAAACATGAGATAAAGATTTCCCAAAAATAACTACACAGAATACATTACTGCATACCACCATTTCCATAATTTTTCTAGGAACAGATATTCCTACAATAGAAAATTACTTGCTGAAGATTCATTTATAAAACTGAATTCACTAAAATGCAAATCTATGAAAGTACAATTCCATGAGAAAATGATAAAACTAGATAATGTGATAGGGAAGAGGTTAACGCAATAGATGATCTCATGTCACCTGTAGGCCAGCTATTTTCATGGGAGGGAGGTGTATAAGAGTTGCTTGGGGAACCAAGTTGTATACACAAAAAGAATACAGATGTTTCCAAGTCAAAAGTGTAGGAAAAAATTCTGCTGTTTGTAGATGGCATGTTTTAGTAGCAATCTTTGGTTTAATGTTAAAATATATTACCTAGTAATCCAAATTTCTTTTTTGAGATGAGGGTCTTTCTATTTTGCACAGTTCAGCCTGCCTTGAACCTTGGGTTCAAATGATTCTCCTGCCTCATCTTCCTTAGTAGCTGGTTCTATAAGCATGTATGCCATTGTACCGTACTGGCCTTAGAAACCGATCTTTTAAAGCAATCAATGATGTGATTATTTATTGAAAATTTTGATTTTCCAGAATTTGATAAGTCCATGTTTATGTATTAATTTGTATGACCACTATACCTAATGATGCTGTTAATGTTTCTAAGATTTTGTTACTTTTATGAAAAATAGCTACAATACAAAATAAGGATTAAACTTAAGTTTAATTACAATTTTTCTTTTTCAAGGAAACATACTAACTCAGTTGATCCAACTTCTCGTCTTTAAGACCTGGATAAGGCAGGACAAAAATTCTGCTTATTTTTTGAGTAAGAGACACAATAAACTAACAATGAAACTAGCTCAAATAAAGCAATTTCTTTCTGAAGTCTGCTGAATGCCTGAAGTAACATGTTCTAGGTCAGATGAGATTTCAACTAATTTTGGGTCCAAAAACTGTATCTCATGATGATCTATTATCCCAGCTAGCTTTTGGCAGAAATGGCTTCATTTCGTATGAAATGAAGTGAAAAATACACTATTGGTGTCACATATAACAAGTGCTTGGTTTAGAGACTCTATTTGGTCTTACCTAAATAGCAGAATAATTTCTCAGTGATTCTAGCTACCTACTTCATTATGAAGCTTAAGGCCCTATGATTAAAACCCCCCAGTACATTAAATCTTCAACTTTGAATCTTTCTCAAATACAGAAAACAGGATGGAAGCACCTTAACTTCATTTTGGGGTGTGGGTGGGGGGCTGGGGATTGAACCCAGAGTCTCACGCATGCTAGGCAAGTGCTCTATCACTGAGCTACATTCCCAGCCACTTTTAAAACACTATATTTTGACCTAAGAGTCTTGCTAAATAGCTCTGGTTGGCCTTGAACTTGTATTCTCCTGTCTCAGCCACCTGAAAAGCTGGGATTATAGGTATGCACCACCATGCCCAGCTTCAACTTCCCTTCTAATAGATGAGCCGCTGGGATGAAGATGACATCAGTTAATTATAGTTCTTGAAAAGTATCCTCAGATTAGAATCTATTTTCAAATTATAACATTGTTTAAATACAACACTGAAAATATAGACCAAAGAGTAATCTATGAAGACTAGAGCAGTCATTCAGAAATTTAATAATTAGAAATGAAAAAACAAACCTTACCTGCCCACCACTTTTTCAGAAAGTAGGCAGGTAACAGGAGATAAGCCCCAAAAAGGGGAAAAGAAAAAACCATGAAAGTGGGAGTTGAACTGTGTGGCAACAGTGATTCGAAACAGAGCTGTGCCCTAACAGTTCTACTCCTTACAAGCGCTAAGATCAAGAAAGGAATTTGATGGGCATTTCAATGGCATTTGCCCCAGTAATCTTCAATTTGCAAGGCCTAACTGTAGGCTTCAATTCCATATTAAATCACAAGAGCCTGATGTTTGCAATATTTAAAAAACTGAAGCCAAAACCAAAGGAATCATTTTGAAATTAAGAACTTCTGTAGTAAAACAGCAACTAAGAGATTTACTTTTGTGATTAGGAAAGATACGTTGAGCTTTGCAGTTACTTGAGCATTTAGGAGTAAATGAGATGCTCTGCACCTGCGAAGATATATATTTTGGCGGGCAATGCCAGACTCACCTCTTGAAATTAGATCATGTTCACAATTTTCCATTTTAAGCATTAACATGCAAAAAATAAAAAATAAAAAATCTTAACACTGTTAGTCTGAAAGAAAGCAAAATATCATGGATAACCAGATTCATTATTAAAAATCAACAAGTGTTAGGTCTAGGATTTTGGATTGATTGATAATACCATATTCCCAACACCAAATGTTTATTTTGGACAAGAGTTAATGAATGAGTAAAAAAGATGCAGTTGTTAAAAATGACCCAAAATCCCAAGAGAAATGATATAATAATATACACACATATATGTATATACATATACATATACATATATATGAACAAGGACATTTGGGTTTAAAGTTAGTAGTCAAATTTTCCAAGGACGTCTTTTTTTAAAAAACATACAGCCAAATTTTTATGTATTTTAAAACCACCTCCTTGATCTAACACTGTTAAAATGAATGAATGACCCAATTTTGTATTCAATTTTTTCCCTGTAACGTCACTTGGTTCTTGGCTACTAACCTTTCATGTTACTCTTGGTTTTGTCAGTTTGCTTGCCTGTGGGGGTTTGGGCCTGTTGACCCTGCCCACTGGAAGAGGCTGCCTGCTGTGCTGCTTTTTGCTTTAACATTGTCCAATCAAATGTGTAGTCATATTGGTGGTTCAGGGTCCTAAAAAATATAAAACCACTTGTTAACTCATTAGTAAACGTCCAGTTAAATATCCCTTGATATTTCTTGACTTTTCAAGAAAGTGAGGCACTTTTTAAAAAATATGATTATTTTGTCTTATATGTGGTAACTTTTACAACATTTCTCTTCCTACGGACAACTATTTGTAATAGGAGGTATTTCCCAGAAGCAAGAATTGGTATAGAACTAAAGTCTGTGAGGGAGATGTCTGGGAAGCCTTTTTTTTTTTTTTGGTTTAAAGGATTACTTCAATTCTTATCGTCTTCCAACTAAGAATCTGAGCTATAGGTACTTTGAAGGAACCTTGGTTTGGCACTGCTGCTACATGATCACAGTCCATTGCTACCTGATATTTTAATTTGGTACTGATAAGTGTTTTGTACCAAAGAGAATTTTAGGGGGCACTGACAGTCACGTATCTAATATAAATTGCAATGACTCTGGAAAAGTTAGATTCTACTTTGATTCAACCATCTTCTATCTCAAACTAAAATCATCTCAAATACATTTATACTACAAATGGACCAACACCAACAATTCCTATAGAACTCAGTTTCTTAAATTTTTTGTTCATACTGGTTAGACCTCCCTTATTTTATCCAATTATCAAAATAGATAAATTAAAAAGATTTAACTCATTTCTCTTAAAAATACCTTAAAAACTGACCTGAAAAGGATGCGGAATAGCTGCCTCAGATACATGTAATCCGGGGCTTCCTCAAAGCGCAGCCCACGACAATAGTTTAAGTACATAGCAAATTCTGCAGGAAACCCCTATAGGTTCAAGAATTAAGACAAAAATCTTATTTTTGAAGATATGACAAAGTAATTATGACTCGGTCATCTCATAAATTTCAAAAAAATTCCATCATACTACCCACTTCATTATATTCATCTTTTTATATTAGATGAAATATGTATCCTTTTGTTACAGTACTATGTTCACAAACAATTCACATACCCTGCTTGTGAGTACCCTACCACTGATCTACATCCATAGTCCCTCTTTAAAACTTTTTATTTTGAGACAGGATCTTGTCAAGTTGCTCAGAATGGCCTCAAATTTGTAATCCTCCAGTCTCAGCCTCTCAATAGTTCAGATTACAGGTGTGTTCCACCAAGTAAAACTGACTCTTTATTTTACAAAAGTTAGTGTATACCTATTTATGTATTATATTATAGATTATAACCTTATAGATTCTATTCATAGCAACCACTATGAATATTTGTGACATTTATCTAATGTAATATATTGATTTTTTTAAAAAAACAGCCACTATCATATTGCACACATGACACATTCTATATGAAATTTGAGATTTCAGAGAAATAAGTGTGATTCAAGCTGTCTCCTATATTTTTATTATTGGAAAATTGCTACTTTCTATTGCTATGATCTGTCTGCCTATTTCTCTATTCTATGATGTGCCAATTGCCGATATTCTTACCTTACTGACATCAGTTTATGTTGATAAGGACAGTATTTCTTAATTTTTCTCACAGATCAATAAAACTACCTGCCCTGTTAATTTTCCTCCATTTTAAAACACAGATCAGAAACTTTTAACAAACCAGATATAAAACAAAACACGTAAAATGATTCATGCTTAAGCCATTGCCAAAAGTAAAACTGTATTAACTTAAAGATGGCTAACAGTTTTAAGTCCTAGGACTGGAAAATAAAATGTTTGTGCTCATGTATCATTTATATTTTAAAGTAATTCTCATAATGCAAGTTTACCTTACACAAAACTTCAACAGGAGTGGACATCTTCTTTTCACTAATCTTTTCATATTTCTGTTTCTTTGTTGCAGCCTATGGAAAATAAGAATTAATACTTGATGTTCTTCTCAGTAACATGGAGAAGAACCTTTAATAGTTCAGCTTGCTAGGCATACAAATATAAACTAGAATCCCAGATGTGATATTAAGTAAAAATGGGTGGGGCCAAATTCACTTTAGATAAAACCTCCTTGCCCACCTTTATTTCCATTCTTAAAATAAAATGAAACTCGAGTAATTTGATTCAAATTTACCTTCAGTCCTTGCCAAGGCAGGCTGGTTCTATTAAAATACATCAAAACATATCCTAACGATTCCATGTCATCTCGGCGACTAGAAAAGAGAAACGTAATTTTATGAATAGGATTATGGAAAACATATGAAAGAAAAGCCAAGTAGAATCACAAAAACATTTTCCCCAAATGAAAACAGAGAACCATTTGGTATCTTATGCAAGAAGATACTTAGTGACTGGACATGGTGACATACACCTGTAATGTGCCAGTGTTTTGGGAGGCTGAGGTAGGAAGATCTTAAATTCAAAGCCAGCCTCAGCAACTTAGCAAGACACTGTTTAAAAAAAAAAAAAAAAAAAAATTAAAAAGAGCAGGGGATGTGGCTCAGTGGTAAAGCCCCCCAAGGGTTCAATCCCCAGTACTAAAAAAAGAAAAAATTAATAAAGAAGATAGCTAAGGTAATAAATAGTTTATGATGGATTACCTCTTAATTATTTTTCTCATGAAATGTAAAATTATAATACCAACAACCTTAAAATATATATATTTTTAAAGAAAACCAAAAGAAGTTGCTAAACAATGCTCTAAACAGGTTAATGAAAACTGCAAACAAACTACCAAAATGCTTCTAAACTTTGCAGGAGTTCATAAACTTTAGGGATGCCAAAGCAGGAGAATTCCAAGACCAATGCCACTCTATTCAACCTAATGAGATCCTAACTCAAAATAAAAACTAAAAAGGGTTGGGGATGTAGTTCAGTGGTAAAGTGTTCCTGGATTCAATCCCTAGTATCAAAAAAAATCAACAACAAAAAAACACAGCCACAAAAAAACAATTAAAAAAAATTTTTTAGGATGCTGAAATAAATTAGCATTTTAAAGTAAATTAAATATCTACATGAATGCATATATACATTATCTATATATACACACAAATCTATTCACATGCATACATTCATATTTTATTCATTCATTTATTGCAGTGCTGAGAATTAAACTCAGGGCCTCAAGCACATTAGGTAAGTGTTCTGCCACTGAACTACATTCCAAGCTCAGATAAATACATATATTTAAAAATGTTATTTTTATATTTGTTTTGAGGAAAAATCAATTGTAATAAAAGATGATAGAACTCAAAAAGATCAGAAATTGCAATTTGCACAACTAAACAAACAATTTGCACAACTAAAATATAAAGTATTCAAAATCAGCATTAAAAAGAAACAGGAATTATATTCAGCTGCAAAATCAAAAATGTCAAAATAGGGCTGGGGCTGTAGCTCAGTGGTAGAGCACTTGCCTAGCATGTATGAGGCATTGGGTTTGATTCTCAGCACCGCATAAAAAAATAGATTTAAAAAATAGATAAAAAAAAAAAAAAAACCCAAATAGCATTTCTAACTTTTGATCATGCAATCATGCAATATTTTCTCCCCAAGAAACAATTTTCAACAAAGAAAACAAACGATCTCACTGGGCACATCTGTAATTTCAGCAGCTTGGGAGGCTGAGGCAAAAAGATCAAACATTTGAGCCCAGCCTCAGCAACTTGGTAAGACACTCTCTCAGATTAAAAATAAAAAAGGGCTGGTGAGCCAGGAGGATCTCGAGTTCAAAGCCAGCCTCAGCAAGTTAATGAGGCCCTAAACAACTCAGAAAAGACTCTATTTCTAAATAAAATAGTTTAAAAGGGCTGGGGATATACCTCCATAGTTGAGTGCCCCTGGGTTCAATCTGTAGTACCAAAAAGGCAGGCAAAAATGAAAAAAGGAACAGACCTCCTATAATCAGCTTCTCTGCACTGGTTAAAAGCACCAGATAAAACAATTAAAAGCATTCTTCAATCTTCAGCCAAGGGCTGGGATTGTGGCATGGTGGTAAAGCGCTTGCCTAGCATGTATGAGGAACTGGTTTCGATTCTCAGCACCACATATAAACAAATAAATAAATAAGGTCCATCAATAACTCATAAAGAAATTTTTTAAAAGAATTATGATGTTATTTCATATTAATTTTAAATCTTTAGCCAAGAGGCATCCTTACATATTAGAAGAATTAACTGAAATATTTCACAAGCCTGTTGTTAACAGCTTGTGCTATGATAAACCATTATTTTCAGACTCACCTTTGCTCAATACCAAGATGTGCATTGATGCTAGCATATCGGGCAGTGCCAGTGAGGTTTTTATCTTCTCTGTATGGTATGTGTTGCCTTGTCCTGTTGTCTCTGTACTTTTTGGCCAAACCAAAGTCAATAAGGAATAACTTTAAAAGAGAAATAAAGAGACATTAGGTTTTCAACCTTGTTTAAACTGCTTCTTATCCATTTACTAGCATGTATCTATATATTCAAATATGTCAAAATAAAGATTTCATAAGCAGGACAGATACTGAACAGACTTACATCCCTAAAAGCTTTTACTAGTCCTCACCAATAAATCAAGTAAAACAAAACAAAACAAACAAAAAACAAAACAAAACAAAACCAAAAAGAGTTAAATCTAATTATCTGCACTTCACAGGGTCCAATTCAGGATCCTGTCTTTATAAAATAGTGGATAAATGAATACATGCCTGATGGCAGAGTTGTCAAGTACTCAGTTTGCCATAATGAAATCTGACATCCTGTTACTATTTGTAAACAAACATGTTTCAGAATCTAGACATAAGCTATCTGTAACTTTTTCCTCCTACAAAAGCCACTGTTCAAAATGCCAATGAAATACTCATTTAAAATAAGACATCTTTAAAATCCAATATTGCCAGAAAAACCAAGATTTTTTAATTAAATTAAAAAAGGACTTTCATAAATAAGCATACATATTCTACTAGTTTGCACTGATATTAGGTGACCAGGTTAAACTTCTGGAAAATTTAACAAGTCAATCTAAAAAAAGTACTTAGCAATTAAAACAAGGTGGCTTACAATTAGCAGTTTAAATTAGCCTATTCAAAACAAAATTAACATTTCAGTTAAAAATTTTTAGTTTTATTTTATTCCCCTAAACCCAGGGAATAGGGTGCTCATTTACAACACAGCTGATTTTTCTAAATAAGTTTACTCTCCAGAAATGAAAACTTTTGAAGGGGGGGGGGGGGGGGAAGCATCTCTATTTTTAATGAAAGAGAAATCCAGAATGCATTCACATTTACCTACCATTTTAAACAAAACAAATAAACTTATAATTTTGGCCTTTATCTTAAAATTACTTATTATACTATGCTGTAATAAAGTTAGATCTAATAATTATCAAGAAGGGCAGGTCTATTTGCCCTTATATTTTACATGGTCCTGGATTTTTGTTTTTTTCTAGTTATACCCTTATCTCTCCCACCCTCATACTGGGGACTGAATCCAGGAACAATCTATTACTTTATTTTGAGAGGGTCTCAAAATAAAGGGTCAAATATTAAAGTTCTGAGGCTGACCTCAAACTCATGATCCTCCTGATTCAACCTCCAGATCCACTGGGATTACAGGTGTACACCTCTGCTCCTGGCTGTTAAGGCCTAAATTTTATAATTCTTTTTGCAAGGCTACTACTGGTCCCTTCTGCCACAGTCTGTAATCTGTGAAGTGCTGGAAAACCTGTTTGTCTAAATTGTTAAGAGTTTGTTTCAAAAAGAATACAAATTATTGCTTTAAGTTAATTTAGACCAAGTGCCTCTCTTAAGAGAATGAGTATTTTCAGCCAGGTACTACCAACTATTCTTAGTTATACTTTGCATGGTAAAGACATTAACATCTGAGTTTCTGTCACCATGACAACAATGAGACACTTATTTTCATTTAAGAATACTAAAAAAACAATGAATATTAAAATTATTAGTAAAATGTAATTGGATAATGAAAGTTATTTAAGTAATAAGATTAAACTTCCTAAGCAATCAAGTTACTTCAGGAATATGAACAAGTTAGTGATATAAAACACTAAGAGAAATAAATTGCTCACACTGTAAATTTCTCTTGATTATGAAAGCAGTTCAGTACACAAATATTAAAGTGAGTGAAATACCCTTCTGTTAAACAAAACAAAAATTATGATTAAGTTCTGCAGATTCATATTGAAAAGAAAACAGGAAAAAATTAACACAAAAGGACATTCAAATTCATGGTATTTCAAAAATACCCCTAGTAAATTTGAGGATTCCTGAATGCTAAATAAGTAATCAGTACACGAAATTTCCTCTAGGGGACATTTTCTGGGATTGTATCCTTTAGTACTTGAAACGGAGGAGAAAAAGGGAACAGCTCTGACATGATTAAGACTGTTAGTTTCATTCAAATCTGGCAAGTAGTCAATAGCTCCATTTACAACTCAATAACAAGACACTTTCTCACAACCCATGATTGCTTTATAGAAACCCAGTATTCACTACAGTTCTTTCCTTCCACAAAGCTAAAGAAGGAAACCATATTTTAAAAACAACAATAAAAACCCCCTAAAAACATATAAACACTGTCTTCTTAAACATTTCAATCTTTAAAATAAATCAATTTTAAATTTTCTCTTACAAATACCAAAAATAAATCAGGAAAAGAAGTGTCACTGTAATAGAAAGGCGTCCTATTTTCAGCAAACAACTGAAAGGAAAGCTGCTTGAAATAAAAATGAAAATATCTTGGTAGTTTATTACCTGTGGATACTTATCAAAGCTTCTTTTAGGAGCTCTATTTTCAACTTAAAAACTAACATAAACATACAATGTAAGTGTTTACATAAAACTAGTGGTACCAAGAATACTAAGAGTTGTAAATATTGTAAAGGCAAAACCAAATAAGCAAAGTCAGTATCAAAGAAACTTAAAGACAATGTACGTATATAGGCTTACATATACAAAAGGAAGCAAAATTCTTTGGTGGGTTCAAGCTGCTTTTCTGCGGACTTCTACTAATTACATGTTGTCTAAGATCTTTGTATTGCCTGTTTTTTAAAGAATGCAGCTTAACTATTCAAAGGTACATAGGAATCAGTTAACATCTGATAAATTGCAACCATTTTCTTCAGAAACACTATTGCTAATTTTAGTTTTTTAGTACTTGGAACAATTTTTCTCCTAATTCAAGGTGACATTACTCTAAAAAATTTGAAAGATCACTTAACCTCATAACCTAGTTAACCTGTATGTACAGAATATAAAAATATAATACAATTTTATATGTAAATTATTAAGATTATTCTCACAAATATTAAATATATGAATAAGTAAAAATAAGCTCTAAAGCTTAAAAAAATTTATATTATCTTATAATGAACCAAATTACCTATCATGTTATCTATCTGTTCTCACTTCTCAATCAAGACTGCAATCACAATAGCTGTATTTCTTTGCCTGAATAAAAATAACCAGTTGTCTGCAATCTTTTAAATAGTTCTTCAGATATGTGTGGATTAATAAAGCACTACATAGTAGTCTTCTTTGATTCCTCATGCCAATACCTGCTTTTCGGTGCATACTAAATTGAAAAATAAAAGATTCATCTGTACAGGAGCATCAAAATTTAAGTGCCTAAATTTTATTTACTTTCCTTTGTTTTTAATGTAGAAAACAAAAAAACTATCTAACTTCCACAGAAGTAATATGAAGAAATGCTTGTAAAATTATTGTAGTTTATCTAAGTCGTCAAAATCTAAATTAGCAGGCTATACATTCACTTATTTTTCACATTACTAATGGTAATCTACCACTTACTTTGAATGGTGCTTAAATTATGTTATTATTGTACTATTAAAAATATAATGTCCTCTAGCTCCACAGCATATGCTGCTCTTTAAGTATCCATTTGATGGAAGCTGAGAATTTACAGCTTATGATAATTCAATTCTAGAAACACTATATCTGAAATCTGACCTATACTTACCTGAAGTTCACTTGGGAAGGAGGAGAGAGGAGAGGCAGAATATATTCATTTTACAGTACTGAGTTTCATTTTTCATAAATGAATTTTTGTGTATTCTGCAACTCCAAATACATTTTTAAAAACTAGTCTATCTGAAGTTTACTATTAACTAAAGAATTTTAATACTAGAACAACATATCTTTTCCTCATATGGATGCTGGAGATATAAAGATAATACTCTATTTCCATTTAGGTTTTCTCTAAACTTCACAAATTTTAAGCAAAAGCCACAAAGAAACATCTTAGTAATGTTATATGTTTGCCAAGTATGTCTGAATAATGCCAACGGTAAGGGGTGCTTGAGCAAGATCTACATTATCCAGAATTAAAACAAAATAAAAATAATCAAAATAAAACAATAAGAAAGAAAAGCACATGAATTTGGGATTGAGGTTGGAATAGGAGACAGTTTCAGACCTGGTTTAATCCTGAGAAAGATGGGTCCTGAGAAGTACTAACAGTCATGCTTCTTTTCCTCTTCCCCACTGGAGATTCTAAACACTAAACAGACAATAGAGGGTGGCAGTGCATCAAACAGTATTGCTTACATTGCAACAATGGCCGGCGCAGACAGGCAACACCGAGGCATTAGAGAAAGAACAGGGTAGCCAAATGCCATCCTTCTTCCACCAAGCACTGTAGCTTCTCAGATTTCCAAATAAGAATCACATACTTAAGAACATTTGAATTCTAGAAAATACTCAGGTTTTTATTGCCACTATATTGTGTCACTGCCTGAATCAGGGATAGCAATGGTGACATTTGGCTCTTCAATTTTTAAATAAAAAACGGGGAATTTAGATCTGCAATCTTTGGCACCACAATCTGCCCTTCCCCCAAAAAAAGATTATACAGGGGAAAAAAATCTTCAGTAAGGAAGAGGTAGAAGGCATTTAGTCACCTTAAAATTTATTTTCATAAGCATGCAGGGCTGATTACTAGAAGAGATGAGTAAATTCACTAAGATTGGAGCAGCCACTCCTAAATATCAAATTCAGAACAATTTTCCAAGTAAGAAATTTAATAAAAATTGACCTCAAATACTCCCCCCTCCCCCCCCCCCCCCATATGAAAACTACTAGAACAAGCTGACCAAAGAATCCAGTCTCATACAACTGGCATTTTTCAAACTACAATAATACAGAAAACACTAAAACCCAACTACTTAAAAACACTAATCTAAAATGCTCAACATTTATTACTTGAATCTTAGGTAAGCAAAACACTTCACTTCTAAGGTCTCTCTGAAACCATGTAGCAGTAAACATCTCCATGAAATTCTTTTTAATAACTGTGAGGAGGACACAGATCCTAAAAAAATGTTTCACCACCGGGCAATGTGGACTTCCCAATGTAACTACGTGATTAATAAGCTATTCTTAAGGAGGAAACAACAACTGAACCTAAGTATTATTGTTATCAACTAGGCCATCATTTAAATTTAAGACAAAAACCATGTACTGCACTGTCAACATGCAGGACAAGGATCATATGGGAATAAAGGATCTTTAGGATTAAGAAAATGGGAAGAAAAGGGCTGGGAAATTGGTCAAAAGAAGAGGCAAACTGACAAAACTGCCCAAAAAAGTAAGATCAGTAATATCTTTTCAGCTAAATCACCAGGTTTTACAATAACAATTAAGAACCTGGATGCTTAAAAAAAAAAAAAGAAAAAAAAAAAAAAGAAAAAGAAAAAAAAAGCAACATAATACTCTCTGAAAATGCAATTTGGGAATGTTAAACTATACATAGGCTGAAACACCTTTCATAATTTAAAGCTCAATGAAAAAAGTTTGCTTTCCTAAAACTTGGTCAATCTCACATATTAATAAATCAACACCAATTCTAATGGTAATGGCTCCAAGTTGGCATTCATACAGGCAAACAAAGGTAAACATTTGTAGCTGGACCTAAAAACACAACTTTCCCTAACAGTTTAGTAAAACAAATGGGACTCTTCCTTCCAAAAACAAATCAAAACAAAAAACATACATAAAACAAAACAAAAAAAGTTCCCAAGTTGTCCTGAAGTTGAGAATTTCTATCAGATCATCAGATCATTAACATGCTTAGTTCATTGCCAATGCTGCCTGTCTGCCCGAGCTCAACAGTGAATGGATAAAAGAAAGCAGTTCACTCAACAAAACTAATCATTGTAGAAAAAATTTCAACACAATTAGTTTCTAACTATAATCATGCGCCACTAGCTAAATCCAATCACCCCAGAAGTTGAACCATTCTCAGCAATCCCAATAAGCACTACTTTTGTTGTATGAATGAATGTTTCACTTGTCTATTCTTTTCCTTTAAAAGGGGGCAGGGAGGAACTCACCCAACTTGGCGCCCAAGTAAGAAACTGTCAACTACTTTTGAAGAAGGCCCAAAAGTTATCCTTTTATATACACAAATCCAAGGACCAAAGAATTCTCAATATCAACCATGCTCAGTCAGCAAATGTTAACTCCATGGTGACAAGATGGGTCAGTGGTTCCCATACTGGCACAAGCACATATATTACAAAACCCACACTTTAGAGCCAAAGGTTAAAATCTGATTTTTAGCATTCAGGAGGAAAAGTATATAGAGGTTTTCACTATTCAAGTGAATGAAAAATAGATACAACTGTTCAAAAGTTAAATAACAGACGATTACAGTTCATTATGAAGCCCCTGGAATTTTATATTTCCACATAGATAACCAACCTCAGTTGGGTAAGTTGGAGAGAATATATTTCAAGTTACTAAGTTAATAGAGTTAGCTGATTATCCTTCTAGCACAATCTTTTAAAGCAATTATCAACAGCAATTTTTTACTATGGCTTCTTAAAGATAAAGAAGTTTATGAAAGCAATTCTTGTCAATATTCTACTCTTTGTTTTTCATGCAAAGAGCATTTGACTAACCTTATTACAGTGCCGCCCAATACCCATTAGGAAGTTATCTGGCTTAATGTCTCTGTGTATAAAATTCTTTGTATGCACATACTCAATTCTACTGATCATCTGGAAAAAAAAAAAAGAAAGATTAATTGAATTAAGTGATAAAAAGAAACCAACAAATTATTTCTCAAGTATTTCTGTATCTCAATTATTTAAAGTTCACAACAAGAGCATTAGAAAAAGTTAATTGGGATGAACAAAAATTCTCCATTTATTTCTAGCTTGACAGATTTCTAAACATAAACCTATAATGCCCTTTGGCTTGTCCTTTCAGTATTAATGTTTAAAAACACTTGTCTAACCTGATAGACTTGGTGGTCAGTATGTTCAAATTATAAAACTAATACAATATGTGGAATTACTTCAGTTGTCACAATAAATGAGCTTGATCCCCAGTATCACAAAACAACCAGCCTGGTATTACCAAGACACATTTCCATGCTACTCTTATAAATACAAACACAAAGAGACACACACACATAGACTTAGGAGTTGGCGTACTGACTACTGATAGAAAAGTTATTATTATTGTTTCAAACTGAGTTAGAAGCCTTGGGTCTTCACCCTGTTCTTCTTCCTGTGCTTACATACTTCTATGCAAAAGTTGAGTATTAAACATGTCATTCTAACAAGCTCTTCTTGGAAATTAAATCAAACATTATAGCTCTATTAGTAGTAGTAGTAGTAGTAGTGTAGTAGTGGTAGTAGTAGTAATGCTGGGGAATGAACCTAGGGCCTCACACATGCTAATAGTAAGCACAAATGTTCTTTTTAATGGCTATAAATATCCTGTGGCATAGTCATAATCCTATTAATATATGCTTAGATATATGTCCTTACCTAGCAGGGCTCCCCCCCACCAATGGGCTATAACTCAACCCAGGAATTCCTGGGTTAAAGGGTATATATATAACACTTTCTTTTTGGTGGTACTGGGAACTGAACCTAGCTCTACCACTGAGCTATATCCCTAGCTTTTTATTATTTTTTATTTTTTTTTGGGGGGGATGGTGGTGGTGGTGGTGATACTGGGGATTGAACCCAGCGCCTAGGCATATAAGGCAAGCACTCTACCAACTGAGCTATATCTCCAGCCCTTTTTATCTTGAAATAGGGTCTCACCAGTTGCCCAAGCTAATCTGAGACTTGTGATCCTTTTGCCAAAACCTTCAGAGCAGCTGAGATTATGAAGAGTATCTATATGCTTTTAATTTTTATAGATAACATCCAACCACCTTTCACAATAGGCTATAAAATTCATATTTCCACCAGCAGTATATTAGAATATTCTTTCTAGATCTGGCAGATAAAAAGTATTACCTCACTTGTTAGGTCCCTACCACTTTATCATTTTTATGAACTGCTAAACTATATTCTTGATGGCTTACTCTTTCTTATTCATTTTTAGGAGCCTGTATAAAACAGACAACCTTTCATCTATTATGTAAATAGGTACAAGTTTTAAAAATTTGTCTTTTGACTGTTTGTGGTATCTTGAATAAAACAAAAGTTTTTTATTTTCAAATTAACAAATACACTGTCTTTTGTATAAAATACTTAATTAGACGTGGCATTTTAAAATGTATTCACTATCCAGAGCTTGCCAACGTTCTCGTTCTACTCATGTATTCTTACTCTTCTCACTAGTATGTGTCAGGTTTCTATTTTTCAATTGTCCCCATTTCCCCCAGAGCTTTTATTGCTTTGGATATACAGATTTTTTAATCATACTCCTTTACCTTGACAAATGTCTTTTGAAGCCAAACCAGCTTAAACTACTTACACCCTCAAAAAAGCATATGTATAAATGTACAAATACTACCTTTGAATGCAGCAGCAACTTTACAGGAAGAAAAACAATATATTTAGGTCACTTAATTTGTATACCTGCCTTAGATAATAACCATCATTAACTGTGACCATCAACCTCCTTAAACAAAAGCTTTCTTGCAATGCCCCCCCCCCCCCCCCCCCCGCCACGGAATTGTATTCCTTCTCATGTTGCCAGCATACTCAACACAGACTTCTATTACAGAACCTTGGTATGGACCACCATGCCTAGTTGGTATAAAATCTTTTTTTGCTTTTCCTAAAGATAAATAGTGACACATGGAATCATGATACCCCAGTTTATGAAATGTTTAAATTATAGTTAATAGTAGTTTTCTTATTCTCTATTTTTCATCAAAATTTCACATACCTGGTCAGCTAACATAAGTACAGTTTTCATTGTGAACCTTCTTGAACAGAAATTGAAGAGGTCTTCAAGGCTGGGTCCCAGAAGATCCATGACTAGCACATTATAGTCTTTTTCCTGACCATACCACCTAACAAAAGAAGAAAAGGAGAAGGGAGGATTACTATGATAACCCAATTACCGCTTAATATCATAAAACTTTAAAAAATTACTAAACTTTAATATTAAGACAGTTTTCTTCTTCTTTTTTTCTTTTTCTTCTTCAAGGTAAGCTCTCTATTCGGAACACGATCCCACTGATTAAATACATTGTCTAACATAAAATAGAATAAGATTTTTTTTTTGTCAAGTGACTCCAATGTCCTAAAGATAGGAAGTGCATGAAGATATTAACAAATTCTTTTACTAGGGCAGCTGAATTCTATACTCATCTGCTGTCACTGATTCCTGTGACCTTGGTCAAGTTCCTTAATCTTACTAGACTTACTTCCAAAATAAGAAATGAAAACTAAATCAGTCATTCTAAAATTTTCCAGAAAATGAAAACCACTTTTTATTATTGTATTTTATTTTTTTAAATTTTGGGGGGTTGTAGATGGACACAATACCTTCACCTTATTTATTTATTTTTATATGGTGCTGAGGATCGAACCCAGTGCCTCCCACGTGCCAGGCAAGTGCTCTACCACTGAGACATAACCCCAGCCCCTAAAAACCACTTTTTAAACAACAAACTCCTGTATCATTTCCCACCAAACTGTGCTTATTACTTGTACTTTCTTTCAAGGATGACCACTGCTACTTTTATTTACCCAAGGACTGGGAATCACCACAGTAAGCGATTTCAAATTTTAACACTTATGAGTATCCTCCCTCCTCCTTTTTTTTTGGTCACCAGGGATTGAACTCAGGGGGCACTTGACCACTGAGCCACATCCCCAGCCCTCTTTTGTATTTTATTTAGAGTCAGGGTCTCACTGAGTTGCTTAACACCTCGCTTTTAGTGAGGCTAACTTTGAGCTCTGCTTCAGCCTCCCAAACCGTTGGGATTACAGGTGTGCACCACAGCCTGGCTTGAACATCCATCTTTATTTTAAACTTAATCAGATAACAAATTCTTCTTGGAAAAAAAATTAGATAATATTTAGGATGTATAAGCAAAAAAGAGCAAGAGATCTTAAAGCTTAAAAACTGGACTAGTTTCTTGTTAACTCCAGTAAAACAGATACAAGAGTTACCGTAGTTGAAATTATAATTTAAAAATATTCATCAAAAGGGTAGAAATAGGCTTCTATTTTCCTCTTTCTTTTTCTTTTTCCTAGTACTGGAGATTGAACCCAGGGGTTCTGAGCCACATCCCCAGCCCTTTCTTTTGAGAAAAGGGTCTCACTGAGACTGGCCTTGCACTTCTGATCCACTTTGTCACTGAGATTAGGGATGTGTGCCACCATGCCTGGCTCTTTCTATGACTTTACTTCAAGTGTAATACATATCAAGCATGAGATATGGATAACCACCAAACACACAAAAAAATCCATTTTACGCCCTTTTTGTAGAAAAAGATAAAGGAAAACAAGTCTGCTTAAACCTGTAGAGGTCTTGCCCACGTGCCTAAGAAAAAAAACACCTGTGCCAATGTGACAGCACAGCATTGGACTGTCATTTTTCTACTCCTTATTCTCCACACGGAAATCCAACACCCTTCATTTTCATTCTTACATTTACTTGTAGAAAGGTCACAGGACTTTTTGGGGTGGGAAACAGGAGACATAACACATGACAATATTAAAAAGGTAAATGATGAACAAAAATGTTGTGTTTTCCTTCCCTTTTCTTTTTTCTTTTATTTAATGGCAACAGCAAATCTATGCTAGAGTTGTCAGGAACTTGTTATTTTAAATGTCTAACATCATTGAGAATTACTACAGAATTTAAATAAAAATAAATCTAATTTACCTATTTTTTTTTGGGGGGGGGAGGTGGACAGTACTAGGGACTGAACAAGGGCCTTGTGCACATGTTAGGTAAGCAACCTACCATTGAGCTACATTCCCACTTCTTTTTATATTTTATTTTGAAACAAGGTCTCACTAAATTGCCCAGGCTGGCCTTGAACTTGTGATCCTCCTGCCTCAGCCTCCAGTAGCTAGGATTACAAGCATTTCCCACCACACCCGACTGACTTTACCTAGGTTTTTAAGAAAAGGGAGAAAGAATAAAGGAAGCAAGGGGAAGGCATAAAAAGTCTAATAGGTCAAAAGAAAAGCACAAACCATCTCTCTCATCTATACCAGGAAAATGTCCATTGATGGCCCAGACATAAAAATAACAAGCAATTTTATAACCATTCATCTAAACCCAAATATGAACAGAAATTTAACAAGATTTATACTTCATATTTTCATCAAATTAACATAACTCTATAAAGCCCCTTTTCATTTGGGTACTTTTCTTCTTACTAAAGTGTAAGGACTTTAAAAAAAAAGCTACGATGGGTGGGGTAGCACGTGTCTGTAATCCCAGCTACTCTGGAGGATGAGGCAGGAGGATCCTAAATTTGAGGCCAGACTGGGAAATTTAGGGGATCCTATTTCAAAAAGAAACAGAAACAAACAAACAAACAAAACAAAAGGGCAAATATCAAAAAAGCTCCAAAATAACTAGATCTTTCAATCTACAAAGACTGGTACTTTAAACTCCTTAAAAGTGTGAGGCAGGTGTTTCTTCTATCTTTTGTATTTCCTCTTGATTTCAAGGAATATAGCTTATTTCTCTAAAGCTAACACTTCATACCCTCCATCTGTGCTTTCCATCTGGACTAACCCATCAAGAACATTACTGCACACAGATTAGGAACCAGGGATGATCTGCTTATTCAAATCCTACTCATTTCTACCATCACCTCATGTTTTCCACTATTTTGAGAGCTTCTCATTGTTTTAACCCAATCTTCTAAAACGCCAGATACCAAAGAAATCTCCTTATGTAGCCTATCTCACACTGGTCTCCCATTTCACAGAACTTCCCTCATTCACCGCCTACTGCTTATATCCATATTCTAGCCCTCTGGCAATAAAATATCCTCTTTCTGTTACTTCAGTGTTTGGCAGACAGCTTACTATTCTGTTTCGGTTTTTAGCTGTCTTTATAGAACCTGAGTAATAAATAAACACTAACCTGACTGAGATCATTTAAATTTGTGGACAATCTGAACTATATCACCACAAAAACCTCACTCCTATGCTCCACTTCCTAGGTGCCTACAAGTTATAGACTCAGCTTTACATTTAGATTTTTTTTTAAATGTTACATACACGATAAGTTTGCTATTAAGTATGCTGTAGTAAAGTGATGTGCATATTGTATATACTTAGGTTATCCTTGAAGATTAAAAAAATTGTTGGATTTGTTTCTTATTCTTCCTAATAATTTAAAGTTAAAAAAATAAAACAAGATGTCCAGGGCTCTCATTTTCTGTTTTAAACCAACACCTTTAGACTTCAGTGTTACCTGAAGTTCACAATTTATACAACGACATTATTTGCTTAGAGTACATAAAAATGGGTACATTAAAGTCTGAAGAATATGCTAATAAAAAGCAAGGACCATCTCTCTGTTCTCATATCCTTTTCTCTCACCCTACATCCAAACTACAATCTAAATTACAAATACACAAAAAAGAACTATTAGGAGAGTTTGTAGCTGGGATACAATACTATAAGGGTTGGGGATGTTAACTATTAGGTGGCAAGGTCCTGAATTCAATCCCCAACACCACATATACATACAAAAGAAAAGTTGTATGATAGCTGAAGATTTCAACTTAGAGGTTTTTGTTTCTCTGAGGAATCTCCTTATGAAAACAGAAATAGCAAATTACTGAAATCAGAGTACTTGAGGAATTCCAAGAAAAATAAATTGGTAGAATCCTTGTACACCTCAGAATAAAGTACACAAATAAGTACTGATTCCATCACTATAACTAAGACACAAGTAACATCAAAAAAGTAATTATCTGTTTAATAGAGGTCCTCCTTTCAGAATATAAGTTTGACAGGGGCAGCCATTTTGTCTACTTCACAACCCTGTGTTCCCATCATCTACTGTTTTACATACATGAAATGGTCAGTAGCATCTGTTAATAGGGAGTACCTGAGTTGTCAGAGGAAGAAAATGCAAGAAAAATAAAAATACTCCCTGAACTCAAGGTATAATATAATATCACTGGGAAGCATCTACTCATCTTTGATTAAAATAGGTCAAATAATTATAAAATTTAAGAGTGATAGTTTTAACCAAGTACAGCACATCAGCTCTTTTGGGAGGCCCTGGATCCAATCCCCAGTACTACTGTGTGGGGTGGGGTGGGGGGACGGGGCAGGACAGTTTTAACAAAGTTAAAAAAAAGAAAGAAAAAGAAAGTCTTTCCCTATGCTATTTATCTTTGTTATCTTTAGGTTGTTAGTGTCAGAAGCTTTATAAACCAAATAAAAAGTTTAAACACTGAATTAGTGCTATAATATATTCAATTTTTTATGACATCTACAAAGTATTCTCAAGACACTGTCTCTCAAACTAAGACTCTGGCCAATTCACCATCACCCAACTTTTATTACTTTTTATAGGGAGGTCAAATTCTTCCTTTAGAATGCTACCTGGTGCTGGGTATGGTGGCACACACCTGTAATCCCAGCAGCTCGGGAGGCTGAGACAGGAGGATCATGAGTTCAAAGCCAGCCTCAACAATAGCGAGGTGCTAAATAATCAGTGAGACCCTGTCTCTAAACAAAATACAAGGGGCTGGGGATATACCTCAGTTGGTAGAGTGCTTGCCCTGAGTTTAATCCCTGGTCCCATAAATAAATAAATAAAAATAGGGCTGGAGGTATATGGCTCAGTGGTCCAATGCCCTTGAGTTCAATCCTAGGTACAAACCACCCCAGAATGCTATGCTACTGGCAACAGTTCCAGTTACACAGGTCTCTTCTCTGAATTCCTTTCAGTGTTCCTATACAATAATATTCATGTATAGCTTTTTAAAAAATTTTTTATGGTGCTGGGGATCAAATTCATGACCTAATACATGACAGGCAAGTGTTATACCACTTAGCTACCTCCCCAGCCCTGTGT